TTTTGAAACTCTCGATAAGAAACGTATACAACTTTAGCAGACTATAAATCGAATTAATAAAAACAAAAGACTAAAGCTTCATTTTTTGTTACCAACTTCATACATATCTGTCAAGCTTGTTAAGACAATATCTATATGATTTCCATTGACTATTTACCAAGATTTGAAAATTCTTAAATTTATATATATTAAATATAAAAATTAAATATATAATATATAAATTAAATATATAAGTTTGGGGGATGATGTGTTACAAATATATAAATACTTATAAAAATAGTCAACGAGTTCGCCGCTGCCTGCGCGGCGTCAGAAAAATATTCATAACTTTTTAAATATTGGAGGTTACTCATTTTTCTTTTTTTTAATTTACTCGTTAGAGTTTTGCGCATCAAATCAGCCTAGTCTTATTTTTGTCTGACATTGAGAACACATTCTAAATTGCAATTGTTTAAAAAAATTGTTAATAACAATTGAAAGTTTTAATTTTACAACAAGCGCTTTGATTAGACATGAAAATATAGACTTTAAGCTTTAATTTAAAACAAAGTTCACTCAATTATCTTTATTCGTTTCCGAGTAATAGCAAAAAGAAAATTTCATTACCCAAAACTTTCATCCCCCGACCCTCATTTCCAAAATAAATAATATTTTTGAAAAATATTTTAGGGGGTAAAAGTATATGCATATACCTATTAAAAAAAAGTAAATAACTTAAAAATCGGAGACAAAAATTTTGCAATTGGCTGTTTTCACTTATTTTCGCTCTATTATATTTTATATTTTCCTTATATATATTATTTTAATAGTAAGAAATAAATAATTTTCAAATCAGAAATTGCATATTATTTTGAAGGATGATTTGGCAAATTTTATTTTGTTGCATTGTCATGAATAAAAAAAAAAAGTTATCAATATATAATGATAAAGACAGGAATGGGGAAGGGGAAGAATACTTTTTGGTATTAACAATATATGTGTATATATTATGCACTCGCAGGCACGTACACACGAATAATATATGAAACGATAGGATATATCGAAGGTCATTTTACTCTCTCACGTCACGTCTTGGAGGCTCGACCATTCTCTGACCAATCACGTTGTAGAAAGGACGGGTGTGCCCCCAACACTTAATTATGTTATGATTCTTTTTTTTTTTTGTATACATATATACGTTAACGGTAATGCGAATTTATTGGCGACATCCGATCATATTGTGTCGTCAGATTATAATTTCAAAGTCCAAAGAGTAAGAAACTCTTATATTAAATATACAATATAATTTTTATCATTTCAAAATTTGAATATTACAATATTTCTAGTTTGGTAAAAAAAAAAAATTTTTTTTATATTCCCTTTTTTCTTTGTCAATGAAGAGGATAAATTTTATTTTTCGTAGCAGGAAATAATTTTATAAAATAAATATAATTTTAAAAAAAAAATTATATATAAAATCAAGTAAAATTTCATTTTTCTTTATTTTATTTTGTTCTAAGTATTAAATTTTTTGTTTAATTTTTTTTTTATTCGATTTTTTATTTAGTTTCTCAAAATGTGATTTTGGTAATATATTTTTTTTATAATATTTATTATTTTTAAAATATTTTTGTATTTTTGCATAATTACAAAATTTTAATTAATTTTTTTTTTTAATTTTAATTAATAAAACAAATTTAGAATTTTTTTTTTTTGCTTTACAAAAATTAATAGTTTTTTTTATTTACATTCAGAACGATTTGAAATGAAATAAATGGATCTTGATAAAAAAAAAAAAGTTTTAAAAAAGTTGAATGGAAACTAAAATTTTAGCTGTTTGTTTTGAGATGATTTAAAAAAATATAAATGTCATTGTGCTCAGTTTTGTATCGTCCGGATTGCATCATTTTACGTATATTTTAAAAGTTGACGCAATTTCCAGATTATAATATATTTGGCTAAAATTTTAATAATTTTTGCTCTAAAATATTGATAATACATGTTTATTATTATCATTCATGCAAATTAATTAATTTTTACATTTATAGTTTTATAATTAAAAATTTCCGAAATGTTATAAATGCGTTTAAATCTTGATTATGAATGTTTACGAATTTATTTTTTATTGAGAGGAATTTAATAAGCGTGAAGATGGAATCTTTTTTTTTTTCATCACGCGATTGTCATGAATTAAACTTTATTTAAAAGATTGACACGTGCCACGATCTTTTATGACGTTATTTCTCAAGACAGTTTCCTTTAAGTTATTTTTCACATTCAAGAACTTTCTCGAATCATTCTAGTTTACTTCCACATTATATATATATATATACATGATACGCATGTGTACATCATTAAACTGTAAAAAATTAATATTCTCTAAAAATAATTCAAGACAGTAATAATTATCATTATTTTATAATTAATAATTATTTATTAAATAATATTTATTTAATTTAATATTTAATAAAAAATTTTTTCAAATTAAATTTTAAGTTTATTTAACTTTTTTTTTTTTAATTTTAAATTGAGAATTCGATATACAAATAATTTTTGCTTATGTTACTGTAAGGAAACTCATTGACATTTAGAAAATAATTTATTAGTTGAAGTTAAGACTCGTTTTGTTTAATCTGAGCTAACAAAATGAAATGTTTCACACTTGTATCAGAAAATTGTATAGACATGACCTTTAATAAAGTATATATTTATATATAAAAAAAAAAAATTTTTTTCCCACGTAAATCAAAATACAGTGAATTTGATTATTTTCCTTTTTGTTTCACACGCCATATGAACGACAAATTTTCCATACTGGAAATTAATAATCATAAATAATTTATTAATTGGAAAAAGTATATTTATTCATTTAAGGAAGTGAATTCCTTTTATAATCTGATGCAATTTCATCATTAATTTCTCTCTCTCTCTCTTTCTATAGGTATATTGTTTTAATTAAAGAGAATTAAAGTTTCATTGAACTAAATAAAAATTTCATTTTTTTTTTGAAAAATTTACTCGGAATTTAAGTATAATAAATTATTTATTTACTTTAAAGAATGTAAAGTCATTTTTTTTTTTTTTTTATTTTTATTAATCTTGACAATGTGTCATCAACATTTTTAAAATGGAAATCGTGACGTTGAACGATTTTTATCAGTGACTAAAAATAAATATTGAATTTTTGTTTTATCATTTTTTCTAAATTTAATAAAAATTAATTCAGAAAAAAAATTGATTTTTTTTTTGACCTTGTTGTACATGTGAAATTATTGTTGGGACGTCAGTCCTGGCGCCAAAAGATCAACCATCAATATAGAGAATGCGAAGGTCATTTCGGTCAAACTGGTAATGAGAGGCTCGCCATCCATATCGACCAATGGCAAGCCGACTTGCAAATACGCCTTTTTCAGCTGTTTCTTGGTAACAATCGACATTAGTGACGTCACAAATTACCAGTTCCACCACTTCACTTTATTTCTGTGCTCTCTCCTTCCTCAACAATAATTGCTCTTGCTTCTTCCTCTTAAGTTATTTCATGTTGTTTTTTTCTTGTTTTTTTTTTAACGTTTCAAAGATTTCTATTCTAACTTCTGTACAATACAACAATGTAATATATTTTATTATATAATATACATGAAATTTTATGGCAATAATTGTTATTGTAGAAACCAAAAGAATTAAAACTATAGATATTTGAAAAAATTTTTAAAAATGCATTTTTCTGAATTAATGAATATATTGTTGATAACCCGCAGGTTGATTTCTGAAAAAAAAAAATTTTTTCACAGATTAAGAAATTGTTGAAACAAATTAATATATTTCCTGAAATGAATTATTAGTTTGAATTTCAAAAATAGATAGAATTTTATTTATATTTTTTTGTGTTATAAGTATTTTCTGAAGGCAAAATTTTAAATAACATATTTTTGAATCTTCATTTGTCCAAATTTTCATGGAGCCCAATTTTTCTTGTATCCAATTGGAATTTTTAATCTATGACGTTCCATGAGAAAGGGACGTTAGAGGCAAAAAATTTTTAGTTTATGTTTACGATTTTTGGATTGAAAATACACAAAGGTGATGTCAAAGTAGTGATACTTTTTACATGGCAGATTGTATCGTAAAAAGTATTGGGACTTTGACATGCCCTTAAGAAATTTCTATCGCTTGACTGAAATAGTCAAAGCAACACACATTTTTTTCTGATTTGACTCACTTTGTAAATTAGAAAGTCTGGCAACACTGCTTATATTATTATTATTATTATAATAATTATAAGTGACTTAAAATAAAGAAGTATTTTACTTCATATACTAATAATAATAATAATAATAATTATTATTATTATTATTATTATTATAATAGAATTAAAAAATTATATTATTTTGCATAATTTATTTTATTTATAATATACTTTAATTATTTCAAATATAATATGTTTTTTTTAAATAACGCGCGCTTGAGTAGGGGAGAATTGTCAGGGTTGGGCAGTGGTTAGACTTGAGCCATCTCGTTTATTTAGTATCATCACACTAGCGCTATCTGTCTTTGTTTGTAAGTACTTGTTAGCAATGTCAAGGAAATTTTCACATGTGTTGCAGTAAAGTGTGCGAACAATAAAGACGTACTATGCGAGTCAGTGCTATACGCTCAACAAAAAAAATTTTTTATTGTTTCAAAAGTAGACAATTAAGTGCAGAAAAAATATGTCAAAGACAAAGTAACTTGACTAAAATTGTTCATTAAGATGTTCTGTGAAAATGTGGAACGTAATATTTGGTGTTTGTATCACGCGTTTATTTTGTATGTGAAATGACGTGTGAGTCAGGGTTGAGCCACCCAAAAATTTTGCAATTATGAAAGATTCTTGCAATGAAAATTCATTTGTCGACTTAATCACCTGTAGGTACTGGTGGGACTTAAGCGTCCTATAGGTTTAAAAATATTTTTTAACTATTTTCCTAAAAAAAAAAATAGGTATCCAATACCTACAGTAGATGTCAGTATAGGTAAAGAACGTTTCTGTACCTTCAAAAATCGTTATTCAATTGTTTTAACATTAAAAAAAATAATTGTCAACACATTTCGAGGTTAAGTGAATTGTTCAAGTTTTATGCGATAATTTTTTTAAATAAAGTAAGTATTAATATTTTTTATGGTAAAATCATTACATATGTTTTAAATTGATGATATTACAAATTAAATTCGTGCATAGAGACTTTTGATTGGTTTTATTTTAAATAGGGGCTTCTGATTTGAAACTATGGGTCGTGTACGTCCCACCAGGACTCAAAAGTCCGGAAAGGAAAAGTTGCAAGGTAAATGAAATTCTTTATTTTATTGTTTTTATGCATACCACGACCTGAAACCAGAATAATTTTAAAAGAAAAATGCATTTTTGTTCGTAAATTTTTGTTATACCACTGAAAAGCCTAGTCAAGAAAAACTATCAAAAAAAAACTTACTCCGAATATTTAAAAAAATAAAGGTATATTCTATTTTTAGTAGTTATTTTTAATAAAAACTTTATAAAAAATATATATATATATATATATATATATACTAGCTTTCGTACCCGCCTTCGGCGGGAGCGAAATCTAGTGGTGTGCGCCCAACAGTATTTTCGTGCAAAATAATTTTTTGTATAGATAGTTGATTGTTATTAAAAACTTGAACTAATAATTTCACAAATTTGTTAAATTTTAAAATTGTTTAAAATTTTAAATCTAAAAGATACATACTAAAAATATACTAACCTTTTATTTTTCTTTATTAACTTCGTAATTAATGATTTCAAATGTTTTGAATCTGTAACAGATTACCATGATTAATTTGATTTCGTTTAAGCCTTGTTTTGATAATTCTCGAACCAAATTTTTCAAACAGCATAATTATTTTATTACCTTTTTTCATTTTTAAATTCTTTATTTCTTAAAAAGAAACATTATTTAAGAAATTTTATGTTCTAAGCTATATATACAAATAGACTGGTATTTAGCCCATTTCATTGAAACTAATTTGATCATTTTCTTTCTGTTTCAAATTTATTTAAATTAAATAATATATATATTGAATGCTTATATAAAAGCATTTCAATGATATTGTTTTTTAATTCTAAAGTTAAAATTTGATTAATTGGACTCAAAAACATAGCTAAAAAAGGTTTAGAAAAATATGACAGAAATTAAATTTAAAAAATTTGATTTTTGGAATTTTTCTTCACAATTTTAAATCTATCAGTTATTTTCTCAATTTTAAGGTAAAAATGCGATTAATTAACCTCAAAAAACTTCTAAAAAAAAGTCTAGTAAAAATAAGCGAAAAAATAAAAAATTTTAAAATTTCGATTTTTACAAAAAGTGCCATAACTTCCGTTCAAGTTAATATTTTTTAATGGGATATGGCTAAGATTTTAAGTTAGTCTAATACCTAAAAGACTGCGAAGTTTCACTTAAATCGGTCAAGCCGTTTATGCGTGATTGGCGAACAAAATATTGTGCAGACAGACAGACAGAATTTTTTTTAATGCTATTTTTAGAATCCTTATGACTTGAAACGAAGAATTATACATGAATTTTTAAGTTCTAAGCAATGTACAGACAAAAGTCTAATTTTATTAATATAGATTATAATTGTTGATTTTTTAAATATCTGCAACGACTGAAAATTTTTACCCCTAAAGTCCTGGTAGGACATCCAAGACCATCTTCGCGATATAAGCGAAAATCTGAAAATTACTCAATAAGGGCTTTTTATTTCAATTTCGTGGTTTCTTTAGTCATTTCCAAGTGTATTTGAGCGCCATTCTATCATTTGAAGGTCATTATTAATCATTTATCTGCATATTTAAGGTTATATGGGAACCTTCCACGTAACTTAGTATGGGAAAATGTGTTTTGGTATTATACGTTTCACTCTAAAATGAGAAAAGATTTTTGTCTAAAATTTTGAGGGATGATAGATTAGGGTACAAGGAATCTCGCTGTTCTCCAAAAAATACATAATTTTTGAGTAAAATTATTAAAAAATGAAGTTTAAAAAGAGTGATTTTTAAACGAAAATGAAAACAAAGATGCGGTGGCGCATACACAGACGTTGCTTGAGTGTGTCAGTGCTCCAGTAAACAGCGCCAATTCGAGCGAGTGGCCGCTGAATGAACTATGATATAATACATTATTTTACTATTTATTGCTTTATTTTTATTATTTTTGCGTTAAGTTATGGTAAATGAGTAGAACAGCGAGATTCCTTGTACCAAACAAAATCATTTCTCTAAAATTTTAACCCAAAATTATTTTTTATTTCAGAGAAAGTTTCAAACCACAAAAAAACGTCCTTTGTCCACATACCCTTAATTAAAATTCTATTAAACATTAATTCAAAAAACATAAATTCGAATAAAGTAAAATTATATCTAATAAAATTCTATAAAATGTAAATTCTAACTAATTTACATTATGAAATAATCATGCGCCCCAAAATATTTTCTCGGAGTACATATTAAAGTTTTTCAAAGAGGTCGAAAATACATTAGCCAAAATAAAATGATTTGACCTATCTAGTTATAGTGAATATTTAATAATTAATTTTAATAATTATTTAAGCAAAATTGTTAATTTAAAAAAATTGTAACATTTTTTTTATAGAGAGGAAATTTTTTTTCTTTTTATTTGTGTTCGTCTTTCTCCTAATTAATAATAGTTAATTAATTAAATTAATGATTTAATTAATATTATTAAAGTAATAATATTTAATAATGATGGAATTTTTATTTTACAATAAATATGTTTCATTGTTTCATCAGAAAAATCGTTTATTATTGATATTCAATTTAATTAAAAGGTGAACAATTTTTGTTAATTGTTGGCTCAAAATGACAACATGGCAGTTTTGAAATTTTTTTTTATACAATTATTATTAAAAAAAAAGTTCCCATGAAATGTAAAAAAAGTGATTTTTGTCACATTTTATTGGAACAATATAGCGTTGTACAAAATTTTCATTAATAGAAAAATCCTCGCAGAAATGTTTTATTTTAGGCATTATCATAATAGTATGATGATTCATAAAATATGAATAAAAATCTATTTTTAAGTACAAATAAAATACATGGATATACATATATCTATATATATATATATATATAATCTCAAGCAAAATTGTTTATATAAAAAAAATTGTAACATTTTTTTTCATAGCGAGGAATACATTTTTTTCGTGTTCGTCTCTTAGTAAAAAATGACGATATTATTTTAATACTTTCAACTATGGTGATTACTACTTTCATAATAATAATAATAATAATAATTATTATTATTATTATTGCTTACTTGTATTTAGAGCTGGAGTTTAGAAAAGATATTTTTACAATATGAAGTCCATTTTGAATAAATTTTTCTATATAAATACTTAATCGTTTAAAGACGGTTTTTAAACAAAATTTAAATAAAATTAAATTAACTTTTTAAAAATAATTTTTTAATTTGGCAAATTTTTTTCAATTTTAATGGAATTGATTTTCTTTCTTGGAAATGAGTTTTCAAATTCCAAATATTATTGATTAACTTTATCAGTTTCTTGAATTAAAGGAAATTAAGGCAATTAATCTCGTACAGTCTCTATCAAAACATTGAAAAGGAAATTTATTATTTTACTTATTATTATTATTATTATTATTATTATTATTATTATTATTATTATTAAGCAAATATTTAATTTATTGTTTATTAAATAATTGTTTATCAATTGAAATGTTGAAGAAAAAAAAAAACAAAAAAGTTTTTTTCTTTAAAATTTTTTAAGTTTGTAAAAATACATTTTTGCAGAAACTGTCGTGACTGCACTTCCTTAAAAACATTAAATTTTTTGATAAAAACAAAAATATTTTTCATAAAATAATATTAATAGTATTTTTTTCATGAAATATTTTATTTAAAGTATTTTTATCCCTAAAAAAAAAAATTTGCCATTAAATCTTTGAAATGTCAGTCTTTGAGAACTGTTTTTTTTTATTATATTTAAAAAAAAAAAATTGCAAATGACCAAACAAACAAGCGTCAGAAAGATATCGGCACAATTTTTAAAATAGACCAATCAGATATTATTAAGAAAATTGTGATTGGTCTATTTTAAAAATTGCGCCGAAATCTTTTTGACTTTTGTTTGTTCGGTCATTTGTAATTTCTGTTAAATGAAAATTCGCTGTTTTAGGAATTCTATCAAACAAAAATTCGTGTATATAAAATTTCGAACACATGAAGATTCGATAAATTAAAAATTCTGACATTAAACAATTCAAATCACTAAAATTCTGTTCAATGAGAATTTTGATAAATTAAAATCGGTTTAAATTATAAATCTTTTAAATTTAAAGTTGGATAAAAAAATATTTGATAAAATAAAAATTATGTTAAATAAAAATTCGGTATCTAAAATTGGGTAAAAAAATAATCTGTTAAATAAAAATTTTGTTATAAACAAAAATTCGTTTAAAAAGAAATTCTGTTAAAGGATAATTCGAAAAATGAAAATTCGTCTAAAAAATATTTATATCTAATAAAATTCTTGCAATTGAAAATACTAAGTAATTATTATTTTTATTGAAAAATCATACCTTCTGAAAATATAAAATTTTGGAAACACGACTTTTTAAAATATTTGTTTAAAAATTTGTGTATTATGACAAAACTATTATAATTAGTTAATTATTTAATTAATTATTATTTAAATAGATAGTAAAAATAACGCATTAGAATAATTTTTGTTTTTCTTTTTTAATAAATTTTTTAATTGACTTGCCTTATGGGAATTCTTTAGTTTTGGCGGTGGCATATCTCGGATGCGACGCATTGCCTGAAGAGGTGGTTCATTGAAAAATGGCGGTTGTCCATCAACCATTTCAATTATCATAATTCCCAGGGACCAAATATCCACCTCTGGTCCATAAGGTAACCTTGAAAAAAAAATAATTGTAAATAATTGTTTTTTTTTGTTATTAATTGTAACAAAGAAAATTTACTTGTGATTTTTTTATGCAAAATTTTAAACGTTAGATTGAAAATTCAAATTTGACTTTTCAATTGATAATTTTAATCGAATAAAATTTAATTAAATTATTGAAATTAGGACGAATTAAAATTCGTCAATTAAATAATTTCTATAGAATAGATGAAAATCTGTAATTTTGTGTTCTCTATATAAATATTCAGGAATGTTAACAAAAATATTTTTAACTAATAAATTATTTCTTTACATTACTGAGCTTAAATCAATATTTTTAAATCGTTAATTTAATTTTTATTTTAATATTACAACTTCAAATTAATTGAATCATAAAAAAGGTAACAAATGATCAAAATGAGTGAAATAGGTGCCAAAATTTTAAATATGTGAAAAAGGTGATTTTTTACATTTTATAATTTAAAAAAATATTTTTTTATTAATTTATTTTTTGAAAAAAAATTAAAAATTTTCATGTCCATACGATTGATTGGTTTATTGAATTTCTATTTAATTGAATAGAAAATTTAGTTTAATTTGAAATTCTATTTTTCAAAACAATTTTACTGCTTTAAAATTTCATCATGAAAAAATATTTATTCTATTACCTTAAAAGAAAGATATAATTTTATTATTTTTTTAAAGCGGAAATGTTTATAAAAGTAAACTATAAAAAAAGATATTAAATAACTTATTGCAAACAGTTCAATATTGTAGGTGCCTTTCAAATAGAAACACCAGTTTGGCTTACATATTTGTTTTATTATAAATATATTTTGATCCAACAAATAAAAACATTTTGGTTTTGAATTTTTCAACCTTTTTAGTAAAATGATTTTTTTAAAAGAATTTCTGCTTCTATTTTTCGTAACCTTCACCCTAGTACAAGGACGATGGCCATGGAAAGTAGTAAGATTTATAAAATTATCATTTTAAATATGTAATTTCAAATGTAAATGATGTATTCCACGGTAAATTAGAAGTCCATCTGTAATTGCATATCCGATTTTTTTGAAATTTTCTTTTCTTTTAGTACTAATTGCTAACTACTTCCTTAAAAATGCATCAATTTTCAAAGCCTTTTTTTCAAAATGTGTGTTTTTAAACGAACTTCTCAAAAAAAATCGATTTTTTTTTTAAAATGATATTACTATCAAATTTTTAAGTTTTAAAGATAAAAAGTCATTTTTCTCAATATTGACGTACTGATCAATTTTTTTCAAAATTTTTTCAAAAAAGTATCTTCTTTTACGAAAATTTTAAACCCAGTCCGATCGTGGGCAAACGATTTTTACAATATTTTCGAAATTTTTTTAAAATTTTTTGAATTTTTTAAAAATATTTTTGTGTTTTATTTATACTACGTAATTTTATGTATTTTGATGCGCCGATTACGAAAATCAAAGTGACAGTACCTACCCAAAAATTTGATTTTTATGGTGAATACCATAAAAAACCCGAAAATTTATGGTTTTTTTTCGTTTATTAGATAAAATATGCAAAATTTTTACAAAGTGCATAACATATAAAAAATGTATTATAATAAGATCTATAACTTTTGTCTAAAAGTTTTTTTTTTAATTTTGCTTATTTTACCCAATATACGAAAAAAAACCATAAATTTTAGGACTTTTTTATGGTTTTCAATATAAAAATTAAATTTTCGGGTATTGTCACTATGATTTTTATAATCAGCGTATAAAATTAGATAAAATTACGTAATATAAAAAAAACAAAAATGTTTTTAAAAAATTCCGAATATATTGTAAAAATTGTTTGTCCACGATCGCACTAGGCTCAGTATTTTCGTAAAAGGAAGTAGTTTTTTTGAAAAAATTTTGAAAAAAATTGAACAGTACGTCAATTGAGAAAAATGACTTTTTATTTTTAAAACTTAAAAATTTAATAGTAATATCATTTGAAAAAAATTTTTGATTTTTTTTTGAAGAATATGTTTAAAGATAGGGGAATAGTGTCAGGGTTGGACACTTGTCAGGGATGGACACTTGGCTTTTTTTAAATAAGAACACTAGCGCCACCTGTGTGCGTACGTGACGAATCTTCTAGTAGTGTAACCTAACTTTTTGTGGCATTACATTTTTGGAGAATCAAAAGTAGCGTCTCCTGTGACTTCGGTGCAATCGAAGAGACAAAAAAAGTTTTGTTTGACTTGTGAATAAACCTAAAAAATGTGTAAAAAAAGCAAGAATTCGGCAAGGTAAGCTTAGAGAATGTATTGTGGGGTACATAATTTAAGAAGAAAAAAAGTGAAAAATCGAATCACGACACATGTCTGGTTATGGTTAGCACAATTCGAAAATGATGCTTCTAGTTAGGGTTGGACACTTTATACAGTTAGGGTTGGACATCCATATTAATTATGAATTTGACACAATTTATAAATAAATATATAAATAAATTTTATTTTATTGATATTTCAGTGCAAAATTGTGCCAAAGATATTAGAAAAATAATACTTAAATTGTATAAATTTTGTTCATCATTTCATTGAGTTATTTGGAACAATAAAGCGTTATTTTTTGTAATTTGAGTTCATTCCTTTTTTAAACCCATGAAGCTTTACAATTTGTAAACAATAAAAAAAGATAAACATGAAAAAATGAGAATAAAAAACATTACGAATGTTATTTTACGTTTTTACCAATAATGCGTTTCGATTTTCAAAAAGTGTCCAACCTTGACTGAAAAGTCCAACCCTGAATAGATTTTATTTTTTTTTTAAATGTTTATAACTTTTTTAATTTCGGACCAATCAATTTACGGCCCACAGCAAAAGTGTTCCTCTTTTGTAGATCTTTCCACCCATATACCACAATTTACTGAATTTATCTAAACAAAATACCAAAACTGTGTCCAACCCTGACACTATGGGGCCATTCATTAATTACGTAAGGACGATTTTGGCTAATTTTGACCCCCCCTACCCCCATGTAAGGATACATAAGATTTTTCGGACCCCCCCTCCCCCTTCTTACGTAAGTTTTTAACAATATTAATGTAATTAAAAAATTAATTACATCATAATACAAATGGAAAATACTTGGCAAAATCTTACGTAAGATTAGCTTCTACCCCCCACCCCCCCACGTAAGACCATGTAGAGATTTTATAAACCCCCCCTCCCCCTAAGGACCCTTACGTAATTAATGAATGGCCCCTATTTCCCTATACATATTTTGACAAAAAATTTTAAATTGATGCATTTTTAAGGAAGTTATGAGCATTCAAAAATTAAGTCATCGAAAATTCTGAAAAATTCATATCTCGAAAACGACATGTTAAAAAAATTTGAAAAAATCATGAAAGCTAGTTTCAATTAGTACTATATAAAAGAAAAAAAAATTTCAAAAAAATCGAAATTGTAATTGCAGAATGCAGATAGACTTTGAATTTGTCGTGGAATACATAAAATATTCTCCGCGCGTTTTTTCGTAAAATATACTATGTACATAGATTGAGCTAAAATTCTGTGGAGAACTTAAAAATGGTATAAAGATTCGTTATCATGTGCCAGAGTATATTAATATTTTGTCAATAAATTTATTTTTAAAAACTTGAATATTTGAAAAAAAAAATTCAATTTGGTATTACAATTTTTATGCGTATTGACAGTAATACGGAAATATAATTTTAGTCATTTTTCACAAATATTAAATTTTTTGACAAAATATTAATATATACTCTGAGACTCTGACACATGACGAGGAATTATTATACTATTTTTAAGTTCTTCACAAAATTTTAGCTCAATCTATGTTCTATTTTTCAAGAAATTCTGCATATATTATTTATTCACAACCATATGATCCTAATCGATGATAATCAAAAATTTTCTTTTAGAAATCACATTATGGTGTAGAATCACATGAGTTCGTAAGTTGCAAAAATTAATATTTAATTTAGGTATAAATTTAAAGTTCATAGTTGTGTTTTGTTTCATTTTGCTTCCTTATGAGGAAACTTTGCATTCGTGACGATTTTCAATTTTTCAAAATAAGTGATGATGTGAGACAAAGACACTTTTTGGTAGTTCTAAGTATTCTCGGAAATAAGAAGAAATTTCTGGTTGAAATTTTGAGGAATGATAAAAAAGGGTTGAAGGAATTGCGCCGTTATACTTATTTACTGTAATTGAATGTGAAATAATTTAAAAAAGTAATGAATAGTGGAGTTAATAGGATTTGCATGGGGGTTATGTGGGTATTTCTCACATGGCCTTAAAGCAAAAAAAAAAAAATTTTTTTGAATTTTTTTTCTATTAAACAAAATTAATTTCAATTAGGGTACAATCAAGAACTACACAGAAGGCATGGATTCACAGATGGTACCTTATTTTGTGATAAACTGCATAGAAGAAGTGGAGAAACGTGGATTGAAAGAAGAAGGTTTGTACTTTCTCAGCGGCAAAAAAAATATAATAAAGAATGTGCTTAAATCAAATAAAAATAAGGAGAAGGCAGATTTATCGAAAATTGAAAACATTCATGACATTACCGGAGCACTTAAATTGTTCATACGGTAAACATAATTCACAAAATTTATTAAATACCTATTTCATTTAATTAATTATTTAAAAGATTAAAAAAAAATAATTCTTTAAATTTAGATCAATGGAAGGGCGACTAATTAATAAAAAATTGTGGGTAAAACTTCTAGATACTTGTGGAATGGATATAGGCTGTAGAGAACCAGAACTGAAAAATAATATATTGGAATTTTCAAAACCAATACGCCAAACTCTCGCTTTTATAATTAAACATTTGCAATTGGTATCTCAAATACCAGAAAATAAAATGTTCATAGAGAGCTTGGCTCTAGCTTTTAGTAGAACTTTATTCAGTGATATTGGCATGAAGAAAAATGTAATACGAATGCTTACTCCTTCAAGAATCTTTGTAACTAAATATTCTACTTCTTTTATTTTAACTCTCATAACTGAAATCAATTAATCATAATAAAACATTTTCTCACTCATCATCTATTGTTAAATTTCTTTTTTTTTTGTAGATCATTAAAAGATTATTAGAATTACCATCCGAATTCTGGCAGGCGATTATTTCTAATGATTATGTATGTATATATATATATATCAACGTTTCAATTTATTGAAAATTATTAAAAAAATTTCATTACACTTAATAAAAAAGATTTACTTTCGTAAACCCACTGTTGCACCATTTTCATATTTACATAGTTTATTAGAAAAATTGGGTCGCATAATTATTCCATAATGTGTATTAGTTAGAATTTTCATTTTATAGAATTTTATTAGATAAAATATTTTACTTTACTCAAATTTATGTTTTTCGAATTAATGTTCAATCAAATTTAAATTAACCACAATTTATACTTAACAGAATTTCTATCTAATCAAATTTTTATTTAACAGAATATTCTTTCAACATAATTTCCATTTAGCACACTTTTTATTCGAAAAATGATTTTTAACACGAATTTTTATTTATTAAAATTCTTATTAAACAAAATTTCGTCTGAGTAGAATTTTTAAATGCCAGAATTTTCAGTAAACCAAATCTTCATTTGCCCGAATTTTTATTAGCACAAAATGTAATTTAATAAAAAGCTTAAAACTCATAATTTTCATTTATCCATTGCAAATGGTCGAATAATCAAATGGCAGAAATATTTTGGCGCCAATTTTAAAATTGACCAATCAGAGACTGTCAAGAAAATTGTGATTGGTCAATTTTAAAATTGGCGCCAAAATATTTCTGCCATTTGATTATTCGACCATTTGCAATGGATAAATGAAAATTATGAGTTTTAAGCTTTTTATTAAATTACATTTTGTGCTAATAAAAATTCGGGCAAATGAAGATTTGGTTTACTGAAAATTCTGGCATTTAAAAATTCTACTCAGACGAAATTTTGTTTAATAAGAATTTTAATAAATAAAAATTCGTGTTAAAAATCATTTTTCGAATAAAAAGTGTGCTAAATGGAAATTATGTTGAAAGAATATTCTGTTAAATAAAAATTTGATTAGATAGAAATTCTGTTAAGTATAAATTGTGGTTAATTTAAATTTGATTGAACATTAATTCGAAAAAAAATTCCAATAAAGTAAAATTCTATCTAATTAAATGTCTATAAATTGAAAATTCTAACTAAATCACATTTATAGAATAATCATACGACCCGCAAAATTTCAGCTTTTCAATAAAATAAATAAAACCAACAATTTTTTTAAGAGGGACAATAAGGTCAAAAATTGGAAAATAAACGTTTATTTAAAAAAATAGGCCTAAATTTTTTAAAACTATTTTTGGTACATTGCACGAATTTTTGGTGCACGAAAAATACTTCAAAAACGGTATTAACAAATGCACAAAAATTAAAAAAAAATTTTTTAATTAGCTATCATATCCAGACCTATATAATATCTTGGACATAAATTTATAAATATTAATTTGTTAAGGTTATGTGGGAACCTCCCACGTGACCTAGTATGGGAAAATGTGTTTTTCATGTACTTTTCAGTGCCAAAAATGTTTTTTTAAGAAAAAAAAAATAAAATAAACCCTACTTTTTATTTCTGACCCAATTGCACTTTGTAAAAAAAATTTTTGTTATTTTTATTAAAAAGCGTAAATTTTGTACTTTCAAAAGGATATTCAATTCAGTTTGCAATGCGAAAAAAAAAAAATTTTAATACATTTTTTTTTCTTTTATTATAAAGCTGAGGTTATTTTTAACGAACAATGTATATAAATATTAAAATGGGACAAGAATGGATTTACGAGAAAATGTTAAAAACGAGGCAAAAATTGTATTCTTTATATTTTCTCGCAAATTCATTGTTGTCCCATTTTAATATTTATATCGATTGTTAGAAAAAATTTAGTGAACATTTAATTTAATAATAAAGTAAAATTTATCTGTAATTTTCTTTTCATGTTTTTCAGGATGTAGTTTCACCGCAGTAGATGAATGTTTTAGCAAAAGCTGAAAAAATTCACTTTGCATCCACTATTAAGTGTCAGGATACAAAAATTTATAAAGATTTTATTCTTATCAATAAAGAATTAAAATCATATATTTTGATTTTTATTTCAAATCTGTATGATTCTTTAATATTTATGATATATGTATTCTACGACAAATTCGAAGTCCATTTGCAATTGCATCTCCGATATTTTTTGAAACTTTTTTTTCTTTTAATACTAATTGAGACTAGCTTTCATGATTTTTCTCAAATTTTTTTAGCAAGCCGTTTTCGAGATATGAATTTTTCAAAATTTTAATGACTTTTAATTTTCAAATGCTCATAACTTCCTTTAAAATGCATCAATTTTAAAAGTTTTTTTTTCAAAATGTGTGTTTTTGAACATAATTTTCAAAAAAAGAAAATAAGTCGAAATTTTTTTTCAAATGATATTATGTACTATCAAATATTCGGGTATTTTCACTATGATTTTCGTAATCAGCGCATCAAAATACATAAAAGTAGAGGAGATTATTATGCGAGTCAGTGCTATACGCTCAAAAAAAAACTTTTATGTTGTTTCAACACAGAAAAAACCTGAATTCAAATTGAGTATAGATTCTATACTCAATTTGATTCGCAACAAAAATGAAACTGGTTGTTTCATTTCGAGTTCTAAGGTAAAAGTATCAAAATGAAACAGGCAAGTTTCATTTTGAGAAAAAGAAAAATGGAAAAATATTGTGAAATAACGAATAATTTTGCACAAAAACATGAAATATAATAATTACAAAGAACTAAATAACACGCTAGACTTAATATATTTGATTAAAAATTGCTTGTCATCGCGTAATAAAATAATAAAGGAAATATGTTTTTAGGTTAGAAAAATGAAAACATGTGTTTTGACAACAGGAACGGTACTGCCAACTTAAATAATAGCGGTAAATTTAAAAACTTATGAAATTAATTATTATCTACGTAAATAATAATAAATAATTTTTATTTAAAAACTTCTAAATATTCGTACTGGTCAAAATAATCTTTCTGGTGTTGTTGAAATATTAGAAACAATAATTGAAATACAAATTACTCTGCTTATGATGCCAACTTAGAAATCTGAAATTCCAGCCAATATCATTTTGAATAACATGAAGTTTGTCCCATACTCATTTCGATACCCAAAAGAAAATGAGTTGCAACAAAAATGAGTCCAAGTTTTTTCTTTTAAAAGAAGACAATTAAGTGCAGAAAAAATATGTCAAAGACAAAGTAAGTTGACTAAAAATGTTCATTAAAGGCGCTTGCACACCTCCGGCTGCCTGCACAGGCAGCCTCCCACCACGCAGAAAACGTACAAGAGTAAGAGAGACAGAAAATTCAAATTTAAATCTACCCTGTAAAAAAAGTTGGATAGCGAGAATCGGGAAAACGTATTGAAGCTCGATATGTTGAATCCGTTATTTGAATTTTAACATATTAGAGTGTTAGGTCTAATCCGTTGTGTGTATTTAGTCCAATATGTTCGATTAAAAATAGCGTTAAAACGAATGAAAAAACGTTTTAATTGGGATAAAAGTGACCTTTTATTAATAAAAAGGTTAAATAAATTGTGGAGAGACCAGAATTAAGAGAAAAATGGAACTTTCAATTAAAAATAATAGAATTAGGTTATTTAGTAAATGTGTTACCATTGAAGAGAGTTATTCGTCGGGTAAGTATGCTACTCTTTTTACCGACAATGGTAAAAAAGTATTACAACTGTTTTAGTTTTTAGTTAATAAAAGGTACACTGAGAGAAGTTTAACGCAACATCTGCATTTTTTGAGGGACAGATATTGTACCACAATTATGTGCAGACGCAGTACTAAAATCGAACAGCAGCAGCGCCAATTGAGTACTGATTCTGACCTAACTTGTGGGACAAACGATTTAGTACAGTATCTGTCCACCAAAAAGCGCAGCTGCGATACAATTTAGAACCGATGTTGCTCGAAAGGTTAGGTACACTATCTGAACGTGTGTTTAGTACGAAATCTGTGTTTAACTTCTCTCAGTGTATAAAAAGAAATTTAATTTAAGGCCTTATACTTTTTTTAATATATTTATTTATTTAACATATACATGGGCATTGTAAAAAGGTTGTGGTTATTTTTATTATTAATCAATTAATATTCGTGAATAAATAATTTTGTCTTACATTTAAAATAAGGATTTAGTTTATTTATTCTCATTTCTTTTCATTTATTATAGCACTTATTATTAATTAATTTTCTTGTTTTGTCTCTTTATTAATCACTATTTACATTAACTGCTATTAATTAATTTATAGAAAAAAGTAATTATTCTATTCAGTTTTATATCGACAATAGAATTTTAAATTCAATAACTTGTATACATTGTCGGTAAAAAGAGTAGCTCTCTTCAATGGTAACACATTTACTAAATAACCTAATTCTATTATTTTTAATTGAAAGTTCCATTTTTCTCTTAATTCTGGTCTCTCCACAATTTATTTAACCTTTTTATTAATAAAGGTCACTTTTATCCCAATTAAAACGTTTTTTCATTCGTTTTAACGCTATTTTCAATCGAACGTATTGGACTAACTACACACAACGGATTCGACCTAACAATCCAATATGTTAAAATTCAAATAACGGATTCAACATACCGAGCTTCAATACGTTTTCCCGATTCTCGCTATCCAACTTTTTTTACAGGGTACTGACTCTCTGATTGGCTCTGATTGGCTGCCTGCACAGGCAGCCAGAGGTGTGAGTGCGCCCTAAGGCCAGGTCCAAGTGAGGCAGCGCCATCTACATTGATACTAAAATTTTGGAAAATTTTCAACAGCCTTTTCTTGAAAACAAGATGGTAAAATGCTTTTTCCTTTATGGATAATTGATTATTGGCAAGATATATACCAGCTAAAACTTTTTTTGAGTTAAAATAATGAAAAAAATTTCATGTCGATAAATTAAATATGAGCACTTTTTTCACAAAAACTGTAACAGTACTTTCTCAAAAATTACAATCAAAAATGCAATTTCCATTTGGAAAAGTAATAAACGATAAAAAATACACCACCTAAGATTTACCAATCACGAAAATAACAAAAAAAAATTTTATTAAATATTTAACATATTGATACTGCTTTACTGATTAGTGATTGTGACAGCCCTTTGGTAGATTATGTATTTCAGGTGGTTAGCAACAGCGCCAATCTCCTCCTTTCGGCAAAACTGCGAAACGTCTGGTGACATATATAACCTGCCAAACGGCTGTCATAATGAGTAAAATATGTTATATTAAAAAACTTTTTTTTTTGTTATTTTCGTGATTGGTAAATCTTAGGTCGTGTATTTTTTAGCGTTTATTAATTTTCCAAATAGAAATTGCATTTTTGATTGTAATTTCTGAGAAAGTACTGTGGGGCCGTCCATAAATTACGTCACACTATTTTGCCCTTTTTCCAGCCCCCCCCCCCTAACGTCACAAAATTTACATGCATTAGCGCAATTTTTTATACAGATCGTCACACTTTGCAAATTCCACTCCCCCCTCCGAAGCGTGACGTAATTTATGGACGACCCCTGTTACAGTTTTTGTGAAAAAAGTGCTCATATTTAATTTATTGACATGAAATTTTTTTTATTATTTTAACTCAAAAAAAGTTTTAGCTGGTGTATATCTTGCCAATAATCAATTATCCATAAAGGAAAAAGCATTTTACCATCTTGTTTTCAAGAAAAGGCTGTTGAAAATTTTCCAAAATTTTAGTATCAATGTAGATGGGGCTGCCTCACTTGGACGATGTTCTGTGAAAATGTGGAACGTACTTTGGTGTTTGTATCACGCGTTTATTTTGTGTGTGATATGACGCTAATCGACACGTGAGTCAGGGTTGAGCCACCCAAAAATTTTGCAATTATGAAGGATTCTTGCAATAGAAATTCATTTGTCAACTTAAAGAGGTGTCAAAAACTTCATTTCCATTGGAAAAAAAAGGAAATAAAAAATTTTTTATATAATCTTCTTTCACTTTTCAGACCAGCTTCGCGATACAAGCGAGAATCTGAAAATTACACAATAAGGGCGTTTTATTTAAATTTCTTGGTTCCTTTACTCATTTCCAAAGTGAATTTGAGCGCCATTCTATCATTTGAAGGTCATTATTAATCATTTATCTGCATACTTAATTGATTTTTACAGTGGCTCAACCTTGACATTTTTTTTTAATTGACTATAACTCCGAAACTGTTGGTCAAATATTTTTACAATGTTTCGCAAAAACATTGCATTTTAGTATATTTTTCAAACTATATGGGAGAAATATCGAAATTCGGCCTACAGGGGAAGTTATAGCGAAAAATCAAAACTATGGCCAACCAGAGATGGGTAAGTATCATACTTCATGTATGTTACCTAAGTTTGCTACGTATGTTACATGTGTATACAACTTGTTCAGTTTGCTACACAACGTTTGTTACATTTTATGACGTAGGCACTCGTAATGGTCAAAAGCAAATATAACCTCAATCTAGTTGGTTCCCGCTATGTGTTTAGTTTTTGAATATTTGTTTGATTCGTTTGATTATTGCTTTGTGGACATCCTTTTTAAAAATGAATCGAGGTCAACATTTTATTATAAATTTTTTTAAAATAGAATTACTAAGAGTTTTTCTGGTAGGCGGCGAGTAATTCGGATTTAAAGTTTTGACAAACTTTTTAAAAAAATTGGATTCGACAACCGCGAATGGAATAATAAATCCAAAAAAGAACATCCCTAGTTGAAGATCTTTTTCTGTTAAATTCAATATCTTCGAAATTTCATCCGCTTCTTCCTGCTGTTTCTAAAAATCAAAAAGATCTTTATTTAATTTTTCAGAAGAGTAAAGAGTAAAGACATATAAAAACACTTATTAACTTAATAAAAATTATTAAACTGAAGTGCAATAAATTATTATTTAAAGAATATTTCATCTCTTTATATTTATCAGTAGATCTATTTATCTGAGTTGCCTGAGATATTATAATTTATCTGTTATTATGATGATGACTGATGAGGCGAGTTGACATCCGAAAAGTGAGGTTATATTTATAATATGGTTTGCGACGTTTGCGACAATTTGTTACGTTTACTACACATTTTAGGTATCATACGTAGCAAACCTTGAGTTTGCGACATTTACCCATCCCTGTGGCCAACCCTGACTACTCTCTTTTACGTAGGATAAAAATAACGAAAAATATTTTTAAAAAATTCCTAAAATATTGAAAAAATTGTTGGCCCACGATTGGACTAGGTTTAAAATTTTCATAAATGGAACAAGTTTTTTTGAAAATTGTTTTTAAAAAATCGATCAGTAAGTCAATTGAGAAAAATGATTTTTTATCTTTAAAACTTTAAAATTTGATAGTAATAGGGTAAATGCACTAATTGCGCGCGATTCGAGTCAAAACACCTTTGAAATAGAAAATTCGTCATTTCTATTGTATAAACTCAATAATTTAAGACTTATTAAACTAAAAGTTTATGTTATTTAGATATTAAAAAAAAAATTTTAACTTTATAAAAATCGATTATTTAGACAAATATGAGAAATTAAAACTAATACCGTAATTTTCTATTACGATGCGTTTGTATCAATTTCGGTGACCAAAATCACGTGTATTTTGAAGATACTTTGCCCGCCGTAATTGAAGCCAATGGAAATCTTAAAAATGTTTCAATTACGGCAAGCGAAAAAAATTTCATCTCAAATAATTAAATTAATAATTGTTTAAATGTACATTTTTATAAGTAATTGAATAAAAAAAAGATAAAAATAATTTTTTTAAAATCATTTTGCAACAGTTATATTAAATATAATTTAAATAGTAATAATAGTTATTTTTTATGAACGCGCCGTAATTGGTACATTTACCCTAAATGGAAATTATATTGAAAAAATATTCTGTTAAATAAAAATTTGATAACATAGAAATTCTGTTAAGTATCAATTCTTCTTAATTAAAATTCTATTGAACATTAATTCAAAAAACATAAATTCGAATAAAGTAAAATTCTATCTAATAAAATTCTATAAAATGTAAATTTTAATTAAGTTACATTATGAAATAATCATGAGCTCCAAAATATTTTTCCGGAGTACATATTAGAGTTTTTTTAAAAGAGGTCGAAAATACATTAGCTGAAATAAAATGATTTGACCCATCTAGTTATAGAGAATATTTAATAATTAATTTTAATAATTAATTAAGCAAAATTGTTTATTTAAAAAAATTGTAACATTTTTTTCATAGAGAGGAAATATTTTTTTTCTTTTTATTTGTGTTCGTCTTTCTCCTAATTAATATTAGTTAATTAATTAAATTAATGATTTAATTAATATTATTAAAGTAATAATATTTAATAATGATGGAATTTTTATTTTACAATAAATTTGTTTCATTGTTTCATCAGAAAAATCGTTTATTATTGATATTCAATTTAATTAAAAGGTGAACAATTTTTGTTAATTGTTGGCTCAAAATGACAACGTGGCAGTTTTGGAATTTTTTTTATACAATTATTATTAAAAAAAAAAGTTCCCATGAACTGTAAAAAAAAGTGATTTTTGTCACATTTTATTGGAACAATATAGCGTTGTACAAAATTTTCATTATAGAAAAATCCTCGCAGAAATGTTTTATTTTAGGCATTATCATAATAGTATGATGATTCATAAAATATGAATAAAAATCTATTTTTAAGTACAAATAAAATACATGGATATACATATATCTATATATATCTATATATATATATAATCTCAAGCAAAATTGTTTATATAAAAAAAATTGTAACATTTTTTTTCATAGCGAGGAATACATTTTTTTCGTGTTCGTCTTTCATAGAATTCAGCACTGAAATTTATTCAGTAAAAAATGACGATATTATTTTAATACTTTCAACTATGGTGATTACTACTTTCATAATAATAATAATAATTATTATTATTGCTTACTTGTATTTAGAGCTGAAGTTTAGAAAAGATATTTTTACAATATGAAGTCCATTTTGAATAAATTTTTCTATATAAATACTTAATCATTTAAAGACGGTTTTTAAACAAAATTTAAATAAAATTAAATTAATTTTTTAAAAATAATTTTTTAATTTGGCAAATTTTTTTCAATTTTAATGGAATTGATTTTCTTTCTTGGAAATGAGTTTTCAAATTAAAAATATTATTGATTAACTTTATCAGTTTCTTGAATTAAAGGAAATTAAGGCAATTAATCTCGTACAGTCTCTATCAAAACATTGAAAAGGAAATTTATTATTTTACTTATTATTATTATTATTATTATTATTATTAAGCAAATATTTAATTTATTGTTTATTAAATAATTGTTTATCAATTGAAATGTTGAAGAAAAAAAAGACAAAAAAGTTTTTTTCTTTAAAATTTTTTAAGTTTGTAAAAATACATTTTTGCAGAAACTGTCGTGATTGCACTTCCTTAAAGACATTAAATATTTTGATAAAAACAAAAATATTTTTCATAAAATAATATTAATAGTATTTTTTTCATGAAATATTTTATTTAAAGTATTTTTTTCCCTAAAAAAAAAAAATTTGCCATTAAATCTTTGAAATGTCAGTCTTTGAGAACTGTTTTTTTTTATTATATTTTATAAATAAAAAAATATTATCATCAAATTGATAGATAAAAAAAAACCAGCAGATATTTTTCCTTACAATTCTGACCAGATAATTGTGAGCTGCCTATATCAAATATAACACATGTCTAACTAATTTATTATTATTATTATTATTATTATTATTATTATTTATACGATTATCGAAAAAATAATCTGTGAAGTAAAATCAATTTTGAACGATTTAAACTGACTTTGGTGAATAGTGTTTCTTGAGGTAAATATTATACATTTAAATGTTATTTTCATTAAACTTTAACAAATTAAAAAGTGACTTCATTTAAAATTATATTTTTTATATATAATAATAATAACTCTAGTGAAATATATAGGTATAATAAAAGCAAAAAAAAAAAAAAAAAACTGCTTATTCCCAAAAACAGGATTTGATGTAAAATTACATTAAGGCATCAAAAAATTTCATCAAAAAGCTGAAGTCATTTACTAAATGTAAAATTTCTATATTTACATAATATAAATTCGGTCCTTTTTTTCATGTCTTTCATAACTTTCAAGGCACATAGGAATGAATGTAATTTTTTTTTTTTTATCTCGATATACAGTATAAAATATATCTAATATAAACATTTTTAAGTTTCAAACTTTCCCAAAGTTTTGTTATTAAAAAAACAAAATTGACTGTCGAAGTTTCAATGGCGAATAATAATTATTTATCATTAAAGTTATTTGTCATTATAACTTGATATAATAATTTAAACAATTAATGTTTGTTTGGTAACAGAAATCTTCTTTCGAGGCCTCATTCTTATTTATTTGTTTTAACAACTTTCGTGACTTTCTCTTTCGGTTATAAAAAATAAATAACAAGATTAAAATTACTTACAAGTTTTTAAACGAAAGGCACACAAGTAATTATTATTATTATTATTATTATTACAGTCTTCGGAAAAGTTTGAAATACTTTTTTTTTTGTTGTCTTATAAAAATCTTTAAAAAGAAATACGATTAAACCACACTGGAATGTGTCAAAATGAATGCACCAGTAAATAATTTAAAAAAAAAATTCTACAAAAAAAAAAAAGGAAAATTTTCTTATTGAAAGAAATATACATACATATCAATGATTATTGAAAATTGTTTTTTTTTGTAAATGCTTGTATAACTTTGGTAGAAAAAAAATTAGTTAATTAAAAAAAAAATATATATATATATATATTTATAAATATATACTAGACAATGGTGCATTCATGTTATTCTTAATAAACGACTAATACTAGATAAATACTTATTTTGTCACGCAATATTTTATACACTTGAGCTGACGAGTGCTTTTAAAACTGACTTTTCAAATTAAATGAATTTTAATGTAACATTTTTTTTTTACCGTTGGTGCGTCAGCAGTTGGTATGTCTAGCTCCTCTCATTAGGGGAATTAAAATACTTGGATTCTGAGCTTGTCTCAAGAATGGATGCTTCAATAATTCAGTTGCTGTGGCTCGTTGAGCAGGATCTCGAACTAACATTCTCTCTAGGAAGCCCTGCAGACGTGGACTCACCTAAAAAAAAATATATTATTATTTTATTTAATTCTGTAAAAATATTTTTTCAATCTCCTTATTTGATAATATTTAGTCAATTTTTCCCAGACATTTATAAATTTATATAAATATATTTTTTTCACATTTAATTTTGTGTATTTTAAGATTCAAAATTCAGAGAATCATGAATATCCCATAAAAATCATTAGCTAGAATTTTCATTTGTATGAATTTCTTTTTAGACGAATTTTCATTTTTCAAATTAACATTTCAGTTACTTTTTTTGTAAACGAAAATTTATTCAACAATTAATTTTTAAATACCGAATTTTTATTTGACATAATTTTATTTTTATCTACCTTTTGTTTAAAAGAATTATAATTTAATTCAATTTTTATCATAATTCTCATTCAACAGAATTTTCGTTATTCCAATTGTTTAATGACAGAATTTTTAATTTTACGAATCTTCATTTATTCGAATTTTTATTTACACGAATTGTTATTTGATAAAATTCTTAAAACAGCGAATTTTCATTTGACAAAAATTGCAAGTGACCGAACAAACAAGCGTCAGAAAGATATCGGCACAATTTTTAAAATAGACCAATCAGATATTATTAAGAAAATTGTGATTGGTCTATTTTAAATTTTGCGCCGAAATCTTTTTGACTTTTGTTTGTTCGGTCATTTGTAATTTTTGTTAAATGAAAATTCGCTGTTTTAGGAATTCTATCAAACAAAAATTCGTGTATATAAAATTTCGAACACATGAAGATTCGATAAATTAAAAATTCTGACATTAAACAATTCGAATCACTAAAATTCTGTTCAATGAGAATTTTGATAAATTAAAATCGGTTTAAATTGTAATTCTTTTAAATTTAAAGTTGGATAAAAAAATATTTGATAAAATAAAAATTATGTTAAATAAAAATTCGGTATCTAAAATTGGGTAAAAAAAAATCTGTGAAATAAAAATTTTGTCATAAACAAAAATTCGTTTAAAAAGAAATTCTGTTAAAGGCTAATTCGAAAAATGAAAATTCATCTAAAAAATAATTATATCTAATAAAATTCTTGAAATTGAAAATACTAAGCAATTATTATTTTTATTGAATAATCATACCTTCTGAAAATATAAAATTTTGGAAACACGACTTTTTAAAATATTTGTTTAAAAATTTGTGTATTAAGACAAAACTATTATAATTAGTTAATTATTTAATTAATTATTATTTAAATATATAGTAAAAATAACGCATTAGAATAATTTTTGTTTTTTTTTAAATAAATTTTTTAATTGACTTGCCTTATGGGAATTCTTTAGTTTTGGCGGTGGCATATCTCGGATGCGACGCATTGCCTGAAGAGGTGGTTCATTGAAAAATGGCGGTTCTCCATCAACCATTTCAATTATCATAATTCCCAGGGACCAAATATCCACCTCTGGTCCATAAGGTAACCTTGAAAAAAAAATAATTGTAAATAATTGTTTTTTTTTTTGTTATTAATTGTAACAAAGAAAATTTACTTGTGATTTTTTTATGCAAAATTTTAAACGTTAGATTGAAAATTCAGATTTGACTTTTTAATTGATAATTTTAATCGAATAAAATTTAATTTATTGAAATTAGGACGAATTAAAATTCGTCAATTAAATAATTTCTATAGAAAATATGAAAATCTGTAATTTTGTGTTCTCTATATAAATATTCAGGAATGTTAACAAAAATATTTTTAACTAATAAATTATTTCTTAACATTACTGAGCTTAAATCAATATTTTTAAATCGTTAATTTAATTTTTATTTTAATATTACAACTTCAAATTAATTGAATCATAAAAAAGGTAACAAATTATCAAAATGAGTGAAATAGGTGCCAAAATTTTAAATATGTGAAAAAGGTGATTTTTTACATTTTATAATTTTAAAAAATATTTTTTTATTAATTTATTTTTTGAAAAAAAAATTAAAAATTTTCATGTCCATACGATTGATTGGTTTATTGAATTTCTATTTAATTGAATAGAAAATTGAGTTTAATTTGAAATTCTATTTTTCAAAACAATTTTACTGCTTTAAAATTTCATCATGAAAAAATATTTATTCTATTACCTTAAAAGAAAGATATAATTTTATTATTTTTTTAAAGCGGAAATGTTTATAAAAGAAAACAATAAAAAAAGAAATTAAATTACTTATTGCAAATAGTTCAATATTGTGGGTGCCTTTCAAATAGAAACACCAGTTGGGCTTACATATTTATTTTACTATAAATATATTTTGATCTAACAGATAAAAACATTTTGGTTTTGAATTTTTCAACTTTTTTGGAAAAATGATTTCTTTAAAAGAATTTCTGCTTCTATTTTTCGTTACCTTCACCCTAGTACAAGGACGATGGCCATGGAAAGTAGTAAGATTTATAAAATAATCATTTTAAATATGTAATTTCAAATGTAAATGATGTATTCCACGGTAAATTAGAAGTCCATCTGTAATTGCATATCCGATTTTTTTGAAATTTTCTTTTCTTTTAGTACTAATTGCTAACTACTTCCTTAAAAATGCATCAATTTTCAAAGCCTTTTTTTCAAAATGTGTGTTTTTAAACGAACTTCTCAAAAAAAATCGATTTTTTTTTAAAAATGATATTACTATCAAATTTTTAAGTTTTAAAGATAAAAAGTCATTTTTCTCAATATTGACGTACTGATCAATTTTTTTCAAAATTTTTTCAAAAAAGTATCTTCTTTTACGAAAATTTTAAACCCAGTCCGATCGTGGGCAAACGATTTTTACAATATTTTCGAAATTTTTTTAAAATTTTTTGAATTTTTTAAAAATATTTTTGTGTTTTATTTATACTACGTAATTTTATGTATTTTGATGCGCCGATTACGAAAATCAAAGTGACAGTACCTACCCAAAAATTTGATTTTTATGGTGAATACCATAAAAAACCCGAAAATTTATGGTTTTTTTTCGTTTATTAGATAAAATATGCAAAATTTTTACAAAGTGCATAACATATAAAAAATGTATTATAATAAGATCTATAACTTTTGTCTAAAAGTTTTTTTTTAATTTTGCTTATTTTACCCAATATACGAAAAAAAACCATAAATTTTAGGACTTTTTTATGGTTTTCAATATAAAAATTAAATTTTCGGGTATTGTCACTATGATTTTTATAATCAGCGTATAAAATTAGATAAAATTACGTAATATAAAAAAAACAAAAATGTTTTTAAAAAATTCCGAATATATTGTAAAAATTGTTTGTCCACGATCGCACTAGGCTCAGTATTTTCGTAAAAGGAAGTAGTTTTTTTGAAAAAATTTTGAAAAAAATTGAACAGTACGTCAATTGAGAAAAATGACTTTTTATTTTTAAAACTTAAAAATTTAATAGTAATATCATTTGAAAAAAATTTTTGATTTTTTTTTGAAGAATATGTTTAAAGATAGGGGAATAGTGTCAGGGTTGGACACTTGTCAGGGATGGACACTTGGCTTTTTTTAAATAAGAACACTAGCGCCACCTGTGTGCGTACGTGACGAATCTTCTAGTAGTGTAACCTAACTTTTTGTGGAATTACATTTTTGGAGAATCAAAAGTAGCGTCTCCTGTGACTTCGGTGCAATCGAAGAGACAAAAAAAGTTTTGTTTGACTTGTGAATAAACCTAAAAAATGTGTAAAAAAAGCAAGAATTCGGCAAGGTAAGCTTAGAGAATGTATTGTGGGGTACATAATTTAAGAAGAAAAAAAGTGAAAAATCGAATCACGACACATGTCTGGTTATGGTTAGCACAATTCGAAAATGATGCTTCTAGTTAGGGTTGGACACTTTATACAGTTAGGGTTGGACATCCATATTAATTATGAATTTGACACAATTTATAAATAAATATATAAATAAATTTTATTTTATTGATATTTCAGTGCAAAATTGTGCCAAAGATATTAGAAAAATAATACTTAAATTGTATAAATTTTGTTCATCATTTCATTGAGTTATTTGGAACAATAAAGCGTTATTTTTTGTAATTTGAGTTCATTCCTTTTTTAAACCCATGAAGCTTTACAATTTGTAAACAATAAAAAAAGATAAACATGAAAAAATGAGAATAAAAAACATTACGAATGTTATTTTACGTTTTTACCAATAATGCGTTTCGATTTTCAAAAAGTGTCCAACCTTGACTGAAAAGTCCAACCCTGAATAGATTTTATTTTTTTTTTAAATGTTTATAACTTTTTTAATTTCGGACCAATCAATTTACGGCCCACAGCAAAAGTGTTCCTCTTTTGTAGATCTTTCCACCCATATACCACAATTTACTGAATTTATCTAAACAAAATACCAAAACTGTGTCCAACCCTGACACTATGGGGCCATTCATTAATTACGTAAGGACGATTTTGGCTAATTTTGACCCCCCCTACCCCCATGTAAGGATACATAAGATTTTTCGGACCCCCCCTCCCCCTTCTTACGTAAGTTTTTAACAATATTAATGTAATTAAAAAATTAATTACATCATAACACAAATGGAAAATACTTGGCAAAATCTTACGTAAGATTAGCTTCTACCCCCCACCCCCCCACGTAAGACCATGTAGAGATTTTATAAACCCCCCCTCCCCCTAAGGACCCTTACGTAATTAATGAATGGCCCCTATTTCCCTATACATATTTTGACAAAAAATTTTAAATTGATGCATTTTTAAGGAAGTTATGAGCATTCAAAAATTAAGTCATCGAAAATTCTGAAAAATTCATATCTTGAAAACGACATGTTAAAAAAATTTGAAAAAATCATGAAAGCTAGTTTCAATTAGTACTATATAAAAGAAAAAAAAAATTTCAAAAAAATCGAAATTGTAATTGCAGAATGCAGATAGACTTTGAATTTGTCGTGGAATACATAAAATATTCTCCGCGCGTTTTTTCGTAAAATATACTATGTACATAGATTGAGCTAAAATTCTGTGGAGAACTTAAAAATGGTATAAAGATTCGTTATCATGTGCCAGAGTATATTAATATTTTGTCAATAAATTTATTTTTAAAAACTTGAATATTTGAAAAAAAAAATTCAATTTGGTATTACAATTTTTATGCGTATTGACAGTAATACGGAAATATAATTTTAGTCATTTTTCACAAATATTAAATTTTTTGACAAAATATTAATATATACTCTGAGACTCTGACACATGACGAGGAATTATTATACTACTAGCAAAATTACACGCGCGCAAGCGCGCGTCCAACTTTAATTGCAATGGTTATTTTAAAATAATAATAATATTAATAATAATAATAATAATAATTCTGCATCAGTGGAGTATTAAATTAATAATAGGTATATTTCTAATTTTCACGTTATCATTTATTTATACACAGAAAAAATGAGTTTGATGTTATATATGTAAATAAATAAATTTAAGAAAAAATTTTAAAATATAAATATTAAAATTTTAGAAATAAATATTTTTGATAAAGTCAATGTTCGATGAATTTTTTATAATCTTTTAAATTACAAAAAATTAATTATGCTAAATATTTTTTTGTATTTTCTATAAATATTTCGTTGCAAATGAAAATTTTAAATTTATGTTTTTTTTCAAAAAATTTAATTAACTGATAATTAATAAGTATTAAAAAATTATGTAATCAAAAAGAAATTTAAATTAACTGAAAATTATTAATTATATTTTATAAAGTATTAAGCAATTAAAAAATATTTAAAAATTTTGAAAAAATAAAACCTAAAAAAAATTTGTAATGTTTTAAACTTTAAACTTAAATTAAAAATTAAAATCAAATTGAAAATTTTTTAAAAAAGCAAACTATTTTTATATTGTTTATAGATAAAAAAATATAACAATTTAATAATTAATAATAAAAACAAATTCATAATAATAAATTTATGAATAATAATTTAAAATAAATAATAATGAATAATGAAAAAATAATGAAAGATAAATAATAATTATAAGTTAAAATGTTCTAATTATCTGTAATAATCATTATATTTAAAACAATGTATATATAATATAATAAATTTATAAATAATAATAAAAATTATATTATAATTGAAACTTTTTTTTTCTATAAATACCAAGTAGGAAATATACTGGTGCTGCACACAATGAACAATATTTTTTTTTTACTTTAAACTGTCACTTAGTATATGACTTAATTAATGACGATGAATAAAAATATCCGTCGTGTTAACCATAAAATATTACGAAATCAAGAATTGTCAAAATTTTAGAAAAACAAAAGGAACAAAATACGACTAACTTCAAGTGTGGACAGACGGAATGAATGAATGAATACGGAAATTATTATAGTTAATTTTTAAGTTCCTCACAAAATTTTAGCTCAATCTATGTTCTATTTTTCAAGAAATTCTGCATATAATATTTATTCACAACCATATGATC